GTGGAATCTGGATGCGGTGTGCGCTTGTGATTGGACAAGAAAGAAGACATGATGTGGATGTTTGCAGTTCCTGATGAGCTGCTTGTTCCAGCGATTACCTTCAGAAACCTAATCATGTATTGCATCATCACACCGCCTGCTGCGGCTTCTCCACCATGGCCACCACCATCAACCGTGGCTCGCAGTGCAAGTGCTGCTGCGTTGACATGATGATGAACCTTTGAGGAAATGGTCCATCAAAAAGACAACCATCGAGTGCCAAAGTTCCTTCTTGTCTCCCACAACAGTGCGGTACCGAATGCTCGGTTTAGTTCTTTGTTTTGTATTTTTTTCGAATCTAAAGGCAACGGTTGATCTCGAATCCAACGGTCACGAAAGCCGCGATGCTGATAGGTTATTAAGCGGATTTGAGCGGCCGACAGCGACGTAGCATTCGAAATTGGGCGAGCGGCGGGAGAGGCGCGAGAGATGGCGCAACAGCGGCGGGGGAACCAGCAGCAGCGCCACCACCACCATCCGGCGTTGGACGACGTGATGAAGGTCTTGAGCAGGGCGAGCCGTGACCTCCTCCTCGTCCAGCGTCAGCTAGATCAGGAATTCCAGCGTTCCTACCCCGACGACGTGCGTGATCATAGGGTTTTATCTGGTCTTGTTGTTTGTTATTGATCTGGTTCTGATCTCCTTGGCCTGCAGGTCAATCCCTGCAAGATTGTTGCTCGCATCAAGAAGATCCAGGAGGACTTGGTCTCGCTCAAGGAACTCTGCCGCGAGCTGCTCGCTGAGAAACAGGTTCTTCTTTCTCTTTCTTCCGCACGCAACAATTAGGGGGGGGCAGCGAAATGATCTAGTAGAAAGCGAAAGTTATCATCTTGGAGCATATGGTGTTACTTGTTCTTTGGGCTCTTTGGTTTGGTATAGATATGTGGGCGTACGAAGAGTGTTCGATAATATGCACCTGTTTGCAGCCTCGGTTAGAGTAGCACCAGAGATATAAATTGACTTCTTTTAAGACAAGGAAAAATCTAGCAAGTTATCTTTGCATAGGAAACCTGATTGATAAGTATACGATTCACATGAAACTACTGCATCCCTTATCACTACTAATCTGTCATGTTATCTCCATAGGATATCAGTGTACAATGTAAATGGTGATCATTTACCATATTTTGTAGCTCTATATGTTGCTGGGTCATCTGCTTCGTGCTTCTAAGTTGGCCTTTTGTCACTAAAATATTGATAAGACTCTGGCAACAAACTCCACTCAAATTGCGAATAAACTGTCTGCTCACCGTTTTCGTCTGCAGGATTTAATTGACAAAACAAGATCAGTTTTGGTTGGGCAAAGGCATTCATTGCAGATGTTATTGGCTTCTTCCGGTCTACCTTCAATGAGTGAATCTGATGACATGGCATACGCAAATTTGAACCAGGTGATGGATTCTCTGTTTTTGTTTATTCATTCTGATAAATTTTAGTGTTCATTCTCATATCCTGTTTTCATCTTTTAGTAAACTTTTCGGAGGTTCATCAAATATTTTCCGTTTAAGCTTCATAATCTGTTCTTCATATTTTATGTGACTCTGTACAAGCAAGTCATAGGCAACCATTAATTGAACACTGTGAAATGCTCCTATACAGAATAGTATCAGATGAGGTTTGAGTCTTCAGAAGGGCAAATCGTGTTATGTAAGGCCTGTTAGATGGTTAATGCATATAATTGGTAGATCCAATGATTCCCCATTATTGCTGAAGGTGTAAGCATACGACTATTTGCTTCTCCTTTGTGCTTAGTTTTTCAAGTGGCGCTGGAAACTACCGTTTCATGTAGAATCTCTATCGATGCTAATTGTTTGATTGTATTAGTATGTAATAATACTACAAAAAGGGTATCCAAACTTACTCATAGAAATTTCATCTCACTGCCCAATGGGCTTACTGATCCATCGAGACTGGGTTAAATGATTTGCAGTGAAAAAGACAGGAATTGTTTGCAGCTGCAGTTTGTTGTAATCATCATGTTTGTTCTAGATCCGATTGCATTATAGTTATGAATGATCATGCTCTATGAGATTGTTGCACTTCTTAAGATTGAAGGCACTGTTGTTATGATTCCTCACCTAGAAATTGAAGCTCTTCACCAACTTCGCATTGCTCAATACCCTTAGGGATGATCAATCTAGCGGGCAAAGCAGTCTAACTCATTTGCAATATACTTGCAATTGAACAGGTTATTGACGAATGGACAGCTCAAGTGAGAGCAAAGACTGGTAATAGCACCTGCACACTTCTCCATAACATAAAAATATGAGTAACTTTCTTGCAGAAAGAAAGACTGAGATGCTAGCTTATTTCAGGGGACGAGAAAGACATCGGTGAGGATATAAATCAGATGCTTTTCTCGGCATTAGTTCAGAACAACTAAGGTTAGAGTGAAGAGCAACAAGGAGATGAAAGCCCTTTGAGCTAATTTGCATAAGGTACGCATTGAATGATGTATACAGACACTCTGATGAACTTTAGAATGCCATGTTGGCACCTGGTTGACTTGCTCTGTGTAGATCTTAGTTGCCTCTTCCACGACATTGGAACCTTTGTCATGCGCTAGTTCCTAATATAAATCCTTCCAAACCTATTCTCCTACTCCTGTAGGCCACCCATGTGTGATTATGTATCTTTTCTATCGATAATTGCAACATCTTCATGTTTGGATGCATTCATTGCAAATTTTCTCTTTTTCTAATTTATTTGGCTAATTATCTGTTTTATTGATCGTAACCAAAGCTTTTTTAAGTTACTTTTGTGATAGCAGAGAAAGAAAACTGTTATGTCCTTTTATGGGGAGGTGTTGTTATAATATCACAGACTTAGTTGGAATTGCCTAAGTCGCGCAGTACTCTTACGGCAAAGTCAGACTTAGTTGGCGTTGCCTAAGTCGTGAAATATCATTACGCTAACTTTTCAAACTTAACTGAGATTGTCTAAGTCATGAGGTGTCTTTGCGATATATGCGTTCGTAAAAGGTTAGCTTAGTTGTAACCTCGTACAGGTCCCGAAAGACCTATAAAACAACAAGTTGATTAGTTTGAAAATGAGTGGTGAACAAGTCTCGACGTCTCGACGTCTCGCGAAGAGAGAAGCTTTATAAATAATTTAGCGAGCAATTTAAGTGTAAGAGAGGAAAGAGAAAATAAGGACTTTAGAAGATCGAATAAATAGTTATGAGTTTGTAAACAACTGTTTATCGGGTGGTAGGCGCGAATACAAGTTTTCGTCAAGTTAACGTGTGAATTTGTGAAGAGTGTCCAACGTCTGAATTTGGAAACTTAGTTCCCATCAAGTTAACATGCGAACTTGGAAGAACTTTAGGACTTCTTCAACGTGGCATATTTCAAAAAACTATTATTACTTTAGTTAAACTGGGATTATTTGTTCTTAATGCTGCAATTAAACTTGCAAATGATAACATGGATGCCACATTCAGATATAAAGAACTTTTGATTGAGAAAGTCCAGAAAGCCTTCTGTACCAAATAGATTAGCCTTCACTATGACTCATAATCATAAATTTTGCAAGGATATTTGCACAATGGAGGAAGAAGACTGTTTTTTGGCAGATTAGGATCGAAACATAGAGATCGAAACTAATCTGAATCATTTGTCATGATGGATCTAATGAGATAATTAATCCATAAACCTAATACACTTAAACCATATGCTCAATATGATTAGGTCCAAAATAATGATTATATTCTCATCATCTAGCCTTCCCAAATCAATTCAAAATGATCACAAACTGAGTTTGTGACATAAACAAAAATTTGTTTGATAGTTTCAGAAAATCCAATCACATAGTCCAAGGAGTGGCACCACCATCACCAGTGCTACCACCACCACAGAGGCATGTCATCCACAGCGGTGCTTGTGGCGTTCACAACACAGGAACTGTGAACCCTACAAGAAGACTGTGTCCCTGCGACCACCGGGCTCCCATGAAAGAGAAAGGAGAGAAGACAGAGGAGTAACTACAGAGAGTGCAGTTCTTTGGGTGTGCAGCTTTTGCTGTCCTTTTCCTTCCCTGTTAACACGTGTATGGGATGCAAGCAAGCAAGCACCCAATCCAATCCACATGACGACCTCACAAGCCACCAAAGGAGGAAGAAGATGATGTGCTCCACAACCAGAACACTCCCAAAGATTTGTGTGGGAAAGAAGAAATCTAGTGTCAATTTCATGTAGAGTGAGAAAGTGAGGGGGACAAAAGCAGTGGCTGAAACATGAGGGAGAGCAGAGACAGTGGAATCCTCTCACACCATTATTGAGCATAAGAAAAGATTGGAGAATTAAAACTACAATGTTGCTCCACATTTTAATTCCAAGCAGGAAGCCTAAAAGTAGGTTCACTATTTCCTAATTTTACTCCTCTTAAGTGCACCCAACATGGAAATCATGAAACCAAGTGAGATGCAAACACAAGAAGGAACACCACATCTCTAATCAGTTGTTAGTTTACACAACATTACTGCTTAGTCTATTCAGTAAGATAGTGACTGATTGATTTATTTTTTTTTTCGAAGAACAAATAATAATAATAATAATAAATTGGAGTCCAGAATTTATAGTTAATATTATATTTTATAGGTAATCAGCAAAATAAATCATCATCACCATATTTCATATGTATGTTATAAAGACACTCTATGATTTTTAATCTTTAAATATTCTATTAAAAGTCTCATACTATTGATTTTTTATAGATTGATTCCTACATAAGTGTTTTTACTTTGGGACAAAAATATCTTTAAATTTTCATTAAAGTAATTTGATCACATATATTATTTAAAAAATATTTTTGATAATTAATTAATGATCTTACAATCACTAATGATACGATTCAAAGATGATTATCATCATTTTTATATTTTTTAAAAAAATTGAGTAATATATATGATCAAATTATCTTAGCAAAAGTCTAGACATGAATTTTTTGTTTTTTTTGGGCGAAATACCTTTTTATTTTTAAATACTTGAGGTATACCACTTCAATGGTGGTCAGGAATGTAGGTGGCCACACGAAGACATTGGAGGCAAAGCACAGTGCTGTTCCATGGACCAGACGATGAGGCAGAAGAGGCTTGTCGGGATGGAAGGCGCCCACGTGGGAGGCGGCCACCTCACCCTTCTTCCGCCATGCTCGCGCAGGTGACCCCTGCACCCCGGTCAAAGCAGTCAAAGCGGCAAGCCAACGCAGTAATGGGGGGACTGTGGAGGACCAGCGCGCGGCATCAGACTCGCAATGCAGTGAGTGAATCAAAAGGGACCTTTTCCTTGGCTGTTTTACCCTTGCGGATGGAGCAGTGTATGCATGCTCAGTCTCGGCTTCTTGCAGGAACGAGAGAAGGTGGAAAGGACCGGAGGATAACTGCTCTATTAGCTTCCCCTTACGAAGATACAGAAACACGAGGAGGAGAGAGAGAGAGAGAGAGCAGTAGCAGCAGCAGCAGAGGTAGATCTCGAGAGATCTCAAGGAAAGCGATGGAGCTCAGACACCGTCAGATCTGCTCGGTATCAGAGACGTCGGGCTCTCTCTCTCTCTCTCTCTCTCTCTCTCTCTCTCTCTCTTCAGGATATTAGATAGAATCGGGAAGCCGGGCTGCTGCTGCTCCTCCTCCCATCTCTTTTCCTCGCTCCTTGTAGAAGACGATGGCGTCCTGCTCTCTCTCCTCCTCCTCCACCACCTCCTCCTCCTCCTCGAAGCTCGATTCCAAGCTCACTCCATCTCTAGTCCCCTTCCTTCGCGAGTCCCCATCAGCCACTTCTCTTTTTCTTTTTCTTGCTGTTCGTGGATTTCTCTGAGCCCAATGCTGCCTGCGAGTCGTTCGACTACCGAGAGTGTCGTAGTAATGCACGTCGTACGTGGGCGGTGGTCGGACCATGGTGCCCCTGCTCCGGTTGCTTGCCACTGTGCTCCATCTCGAGGGGGTAATCTCGCCATTTCCCGGCATTGCTCCGGTGGTCCTCCCGGGCCGGAGGTCTCGTTGTTGGCTTCTGCCCGCCCGCCTGCCCGCGTGCACATGGGTGAGCGAAGACCGCTGCAGCTACATCATCTCTATCTCTCTCTCGTGTTCTGCTCTGTTTACGCTGATCAATGCATTAGGAAGCAAAGAGCGGAGAGCAGCAGAATTAAATGATGGTAATGACTGCTACTTTTTATCCGCATGATGGATTTAGCCGTCATCTCATTTCCATACCCCCGAAAGAAGCTCGGTGAGCGTGCAAGGGGCTTTTTGCTGTTGCTTCTGCGTCTGTGTGGGTGAGAGAGAGAGAGAGAGAGAGAGAGAGAGAGAGAAGGGGATGCAGGACGAAGGAGAAACGATGAGAGAGAGAGAGAGAAGAGAGCTTCCCTTCCCCAAAACGGAGCCATCGATACGTAAAATCCGGGGGAAGTACGTCTCCTTGAGGCTCGAGTTCCCGAACTACCCTTGGGGCTCCGTTGCTGCCTCGGGAAACGAAGGGCATTGCGGTCACTTCCTGTGGGTGGAGCTGTGTATGGGGTACAGCTCTCCATTTCTGTATGGGACGTGGAAGAAGCGTGTCGCGTTGGGTTTACATATAAAGCGGTAAAAGACAGCGTAGGGAAGAGGAGAGCGAGTTGTTCTCTTTCTTCCTTTCTCTCTCTGCTTTAGTATGCTTTGTCTGGTGTTGTTGGGTGTGAGGCAAAGCCATTGATCCTCCGCAGCGAGTCTACCGAGTTGGGATGGTGAGCACTCATCACAGAAGATGGACCCGTACATGGATTTAGTGCTTGCTTTAGCTTCTGCTTTGCTTTGCTCTGTTCCGCCATATGTGATGGAGAAGGAAGAACGTAGGCCAAGCTCAGCAAAGCAGGCAGTGCTACGTCGAGGAGAAAGAGAGGGAGGATTGGCATTGTCTGTTCCGGAGGCCTCTTTTTGCAGCTGACAAGAAAGATCGAGGAAGGAACGGCCATGGAAAGGGTGGAGGCGGTGGCAGAGAGGCCAGCCATGGCGCGGCGGACGGGCGAAGGCAGGCCTCATGATGGTGCAGGTGAAGACGACGATGCACTACGCGAGGAGGCAGCCGACGTGCTTTAAGGTTTGTGTGCTGTGATATTGGTGTAAGCGGCTCAATCAGTTATCTCTTCTTCTTCTTCTTCTTCTTCCTCTTCTGTTTCCTTTTTCTCTTCTTCTTCTTCTTCTGCCTACTACTCCCATTACCACCAACATGCTGTTTTGTAATAGCCTCTTGGCGTTGCTGCTTTGGCTTCCACTGTTTGATCCTCCGAGTGACGTGGGTTGGTGGTGGGAGGAAAGGGATGGGGTAGGGGAGGGTGGGTTGGCACGGCATGCTTCATGCCACACATCTCCCTCTCCCACAACTCCCCTTGTGTAACCTTGGGATGTTCTGTTGGGTTTCTCTCCCTTTTGTCGCTTGTTGATTGGATGGGTTGCTTAGCATTCATCTTAGAACAGAGAGGGATTGCAGCATTCACCCCCGCCGGCCCTCTTCCTGCTTTCTTGCTTGGGAGAGGGTTTTGGGTGGTTCAATCTGCGTGAGAACAACAGCGACGATGGATGTGTCAGTCTGGAATGCAATTAGTGGGGTGGTTCATTTTACCCCTTGGATGCATGAGATGTGTAGCAAGTACAGGCTTAAAGACACTGGCCACTGTGTCAGGACTGAGATCAGGTTGCCCTTAAGGCAGCTGCTAGCTATATAGCCTGATGTCGGTGCGACTGCCCTATTGTTTACTGCTAAAAGTTGGAGGAGAGTCTGCACCATTCTCTGCTTCAGGGATAAAGAGTTCCCAAGTCACCACTGCATAGGTAGTCTCCAGAGGCAAAATCCTTTTCTATTAAATCATGCCTCTGTTTGTGTTTAAAAGCAGCGATTTCTTGAACAGACTCGAGAAAATAAGTTCTACGGCAGTTCAGATGGGTTTCCCCTTCTACCACATGATGGGATACCAAAGGTGATAGGCAATGCAAATCCACCAAACCCAAACAAAGCAAATGCCATGCATGATATGTAGTAGTAGTAGTAGTGCCATAAGCCCATATTCTATCTGGAGGCTCAGTTGAAACCATATCAGCCAAATATCAACAGACAGTTGTGACATCTCATTTTCCAGCGTAATTAAGCATCAAATAAGCATAACAAACATCAATCTTGGGCAAGCACGGCCGCTATCTCTTCTACATTTTCAAAGCATGACATTTATTTAGGGTGCCAATCTTCATATAGACCTTATCATAAACTCGAGGACACCATTTGACACCCAAGTAGAATATTAGAATATTGGTTGGATCACTCGGTAGTACTTATGCAGGCTGCAAATTTTATGTCCAAACAGCACCTGATCATGCATGAATTCGGTCTATAAAAAATGCTGCTGGTGGTCATCGTGGCACACTCAGGAGGCCACCTAGAGCTATCGCTTGACACCAGCATCCTCTGTCCCGAACGCCACTGCACATTCGTGTGAATTCCTAGTTACACAAGGACCCCTGGTCAAGTGTGGCACAAGGGATCATAAAACACTACTAGAACTAAAAACTTGGCCAACTTTCTGCACAACATCATCTTCCTCATGAACTCTTCTCATCTCTCCATCCCTTCACCTTCCAAGCAGGATCCTCTGGCATCATCTTTCAGAGTTTTATCCCCATCTTCTCCTTCCTAGTAATGTAGAGTGGGTCCGGGCGACACTGCAGTTACCGCAGAAGCAGCAAATGCTTGGTATATCAACAGGCCACCGCCTGGGAGATCTTGTTCCACTCTATCTTTGCAGGTGTAACCATCAAGAAGTATCTTGTCTGTCCAAGTGCCTGCTAGTCCACGGCCACCGAAGATGGTGACTGCAAGAGAGAATTCTGAAGGGTCAAAGCACCTGAGGACCCTCTCGATTAAGTCCTGCTGCACCGAGGTCAGAGGATTAAACCCCATTGCCTCATAACTAGCGTAGCTGAAACCCTCCTCGGGTGTCACATGGATGGTGGAGAGCGACGGGCCATGAATCCCATTCATGGAGTAGCCACAGGGCTCGAAGTCGAAGTCACATATCTCCATCTCAGGAATAATATTGGAGATACCAGAGAGCTTCGTCATGGCCTTGGCAGGACACTCATGTCCTTCCACCGAATTCTTAAAGAAGATTAACGCCCGTTCAGTGTTCAACTTAGTCATGCACATCTCGAGGGTGACCATTGGCAGCTCAGGCTTATTGGCAGCATAGTATATATGCCATTTTCGATCTGCGTTCGCTGAATCACCAATCACATATGCATCACTACCTGATTCGAGGCTGCCAAAGAACTGATTGAGCACAGCAACTTCATCGGAGAAGCTACGGTGGGGGGACGGCTGTGCACCAGGAAAGATAAAGGTCCCACGAGAGTATTTAACAGAGAAAACAGAGAGCGAAAGCTCTGCAGCAAGTTCAAGAATTCTAGGAATGGATAGGAGGAGCTTCGTGGTCCCGCAAGTCTTGAGGATTATTTTGTAGGGATAAACAAAGAGGCTGGATTCGGAGAGGACATATGAATCGAAGTTCTTGTTCGAGAGATGAGACACGATGGTGCATCGTGCCAGATCCAGAATGGAATCGATCTGTGCCCGTGAAAGAGCACGCAGCCCCCAACCATGGGCGTCCACAAAAATGGGTGCCTCGGAGAATGTGATCTCCAGGCGCTTCTCGTATCCCTCGAAACCAATTGGTGAGGCCAAGGGAGGGTTTGGAGTGTCTAGCAGTGAGATTGCCATCGAATCAAGCAAGAGCAAGTGAGAGTGGCAACGACAAGAAGAGAACAGGAGACCAAAAGTGGTCTGGGAGGAGGTTTGGATGTTAGAAAGCAGCTAGCTTGAGATTGTTTAAGAGCAAAGCAACAGAAATCCTACTCTACCGAAGAAGGCATCTGAAGGGGGTCTCAGGATGGCTTCCTCACACACTGCAGAAGATCAAAATTAGCAAATGATCAGCATTCAACACACCAAATCGAAGACATCTTAGTTTCAGACTTGGTTCTTACGTTGGAGTATGCAGCAGACTGGAACTTCTTGATTCCACCGTTGGGTCGGATGTCTTCGACGGTGTAGCCAAGGGGTGCTTCGTGCTGCAATGAGCTACTACTGCTACACTTTTTCTTCCCACCTTTAGACTCCATTAAAACATTTCGAGCTTCCTGCAACAATGGAAGAACAACATGTCGATCTTTACAACCAAACAAAATAAGAATCACATGCATTAAAAGACCAAGAGAAGAGAAAAACTAGCTATAGTCTACGCCTAGACATACTACAAAGCATGAGACGATCAAGAGTCATGTCCGAAGCATAACATTATTCTAAGCATTTTTAGGAGACCCGATAAGTAAAAATTAAACAGTGTTCATATTCATCTATTAACATAAGCAGAAAAATAACCTAAATCAAATAAAAAGATCATTCTTTACAGACAAAATAAATATATAGGAAGGATTAGAACAAATTGTAAGGCAAATCTAATGACTGCATCGAGGTTAGAACAAATCATGCCCTAATTAATATGAAATCAAAAGAACACACCGAGGGAAAAACAGAATGAAATTAACGAATTAGGGTTACAATACGACGACACCGTACAAATTCGGCCCGAACAGTTAAAGATCTTCGAACAAGCGAACAGGAAGAAGGGCTACAATCGCAAGATGCAATCACCAAAACCAACTCATATCAAGGGCCATTTGATTCTCCGTCCACCATCAGAAAAGGATTGAACGGAATACAACCCATATTGTGCCCATAGAACAACGACAACAACCGTTGATTGATCAAACGATTCTTGAGATGACTACAACAGATGGAATTGCAAGAGAAGACAGAGACGGAGAGAAGGAAAAGCTTACGATCGAAAGGCCAAGGAGGATCACCGCAGCAGCCGAAGCCGAGACTCTGCTGATCCAAACCCTGGCGGACGATACGAGAGCCGAAGAGGAGCCGGGAAGATTGAGAGAGAGAGAAGCGGCGAGGAAGCGGGAGGAGGAGGCCTCCCTTTATATAGGACGCAGAGGGAGTCCGGGAACGTAAGGAAGTCTTCCCAACGGAGACGCTATCTCTATCTGAGAACCGATTCGGTTAACCTTAACCGTCGCGGTCCAGCGAACGCCACCAATAAGAGCGTTACTTCGGTGGGTCCTCGTATCTTGGCCAATCGTCTGCTCTCAGCTTCCTCGTATTTGTGTTTCCTGTCCCTCCCAAATCAAACCAACCCTCAATTTTCCAATAATTAATATTGAAGTTTTTTATATCACATCATCATTCTAAGTATTATTAATATTAAATTTAAATTAATAATATATTTATCAAAATTTTATTATAAGTTAATTTATGGGGTGTTATAATCTCTCGCTATTTTAATATTTGACATCCCTATTAATTACTAATATAACTTAAAATCAAACTTAATCTCATTCATGGATAATGCTTTCTTATTTGAATTTATGTAAAATCTATGTTTTAATTATTTAAAGATATATCTATACAGTTAAATAACTCTTACAACATCTGGATGAGATTTTTGGATGATTATGCTACATTTATGCAAGACAAAAGATGATTTGGGCAACAATTGGCACTGATGAGGTCACAATCCATGCTCAGTATCACCACTCCCTCTCCTCTCACAGGAACATAAAGAATCTGGCATTCTCCACTCCTCACTTGAAATCCTACTTGCCACTCACTTTCCTTCTGCATGGAAGATTCAAATCATCCACCTTTTAGTTTTTGGATGGTCCATTATGAACACACACACACAAAAAAGAAAAGATTTCATCAGCTAGATATTCGACTTGTCAAGGTGGCATGACCTTGTTGCACATATCTACTTGGCTTAGATTCGCTTGGAGAATGATATGCTGTCCACCAATACCTCCAAGTAGTGACAGACCCAGCCACCACCTTGTGATCATTGTGGTTATTGTATTGTGCTTGGATGATCTCCATCTCCCCCAGGACGCTTCCTTTCTCTTTCTAATTCTATTGCACCAACAGCACCATGGAGATTTGTTTTTGCTTGTTGCTAGGGATATACTTTGCTTCATTCGGAATGCTCCTCTGGTGGATGGCACCTCCACTCCATTGGCCATGCTGCTGGCCTTTCATTTGTTCCTCTGTTTGTGATGTGTAGTGTAAGGCTTTGGAGCTTTGTGTTGTCAAGTTGATACTTTTGATTTGATGATTTCTTGTCTCTGTCCACAGGTTGAGAAATAAAGGGAAAACCACTGCTCGATTTCCTGCTAGCCTTCATCACTCTTCACTGCAACTCTGAAGTCAGACTTCCTCAAACAACTGTAGCAGTTATTGTATAGCCACCATGATCTTGATAGATGTTGCTTCTTCACCTGCTAAGAAACTTGATTGATTGTTTTTACTGCAATCTTGTGCTTCACTTGTCATCTTGAGGAAAACCTTGCAATGCTTTCCAGCTATTGCCACAATGAGGAAACCCTTCTCAGTGGCCTGTGGTTTTAGTGCCATTAATATCCCCACAAACAGTGATGGATTCAAGGAGTAGATGACAAGTGGGGGGAGAAATATCATGTTTTACCACCTAAAAAGTGACTCCAAGGCCATGCTTATCTTTAGCTTTAGGGAAATGGCAAATTGAAGGAGGAAGGAAGGTGCATGGCCTTCACCTTTGTCTTGTTTTTCCACTCCTCATCTTTGCCTTTTAGCTCTTTTCATCCATGATCCTCTTTTACATTAAAGCTTGCAATTAGTCGAACGTGGGCGAATCACTTTACTCAGGTGAATGCACTTTCCTTTCTCAAACCTCTGTGTTTAATCATGCATGTTCATAATAATTCAAAAACCTCTCTCTCTCCCTCTCTCTTGTTGGTGAATGAATTCAGAACTGGCACATTGCATGGAGTATGTATGACATTGGATGTATATTGAGACTGCTACCCTTCTCTCTGTATCATCTATTTCAATCAAGACATGTTGCTACTGCCAGCAGCGGCCATGCATGGCTAGTGGAGCCTGTACAGGTCCAGGTTTCTAAGCCAATCTTGAAGGTTAATTGATCTTTGAGCAGTAGAGGAGGTGGTGGTCATCTGCTGCCATGGGAGTGATGTAAGCTTCAAGACAAAGAAAGATGAATTTGAAGGCTTTGGAGAGAACAGGTGGTAGAGTGAGAAATTGTCGCATGTTATTGCTCAGTTTTCCCCTTCTGATCTTTGCCACTTCGTGAATGCTCATCTCATTACTTGTTATAAGAATGTTGAATACTCGTTACATTGTACACAGATATACTTTATACTGTCACTCACTCATGTTCATATTTCAACATACATAATGATTGAGAAGATCACATACCACCAGTTTGCAGGCCTAGTTTGACCCTGCGTCACTACCATTTCATGCTTCTTATCGCTCCCTTTCTCCATCATGCTTTTCCTGTCTTATCAAGATAGAGCTCTTGTTCTTAGTTCTGGATTCAATCTTTGTAGAGATGAGTACTTCACCAAATGAGAGCTCCTGAAAACATCTTGGCTACTTCTTCCCTAAATCTTGATGACGATGGCATGTTTGTTAGTTCTATGACAGGGGCACTGAATGGGACTAGGATTCTTGGGGCTCACCATTGCTGCACCTCAAGATCAAGAACAAGGGGTTCAATTCTAAGCAGGTTCCTACTTTGTGCAAAGGTGCTGTTCCAGTCCCACAAAAAAGCAGAGGCCATTTGAGCTAACAACAACAATGGCTCAGCACATTGCACCTCTTCCAACGCCGGCAGAATCCAATCCCGCCTCTCCCCCTCGCCTTTATCCAAAGCAGAAGAAAGAAGCATAAACAAAACACACTTCGCTGCTTGCATCTCTCTTTCTTTGCCACTTTCTCCTCTACCAGCTCTCTCTCTCTTCCCCTCCTTTTTCTTCTCTCCCAATGCAAGGGAATGAGTGGAGTCACGCTGAGAGGAGGGGCTTAGTACATGTTGGTGACTCCCCCACCCACCTCTCTCTCTCTCTCTCTCTCTCTCTCTGCAAGCTTCTGAGCTCCATCAGATTCTGACACCCAAATCAGCTCCCTGATTTCGAATTCCTCTGTCCCCCCGACTCTCTCTCATGAGTCCATGCATGGCTGCTTTACCCCCATGTCATGCACCCATCATGGACCCCTCCTCACATCAGCACCATCATGGCCGTTCATTGAACATTCTCATTGCTCCCATCACCACCTCTTTGCTCATGATGAAATGGCATGGCTCCGAACCTCAAGACCTCATCATGCTCCGTCTTCCATCCACTTCTCCCTGTTGGTCACACGTATCAAAACACCCCCTCAGCTGTTTGTTCTCTCTCCGCTGCTCCCATGGCTTCCAAGTGCTTCTTCTCAAATCTCTTCGTCTTGTTCTTCTCCTTCTGCAATGTTGCCTTCTCCTTTGAGCCACTTAACATGGAAGGTGTGTACTTGTTGTTGGGTCTTCGCTGTCTCAGTCCTCTGTTCTCGTTCTCCCTTTGTGTGTGCTTTCCAATGCATTGATTCCCTTGCTTGTTCTCCAGTGGAGGCTCTGATAGCTATTAGAAGCGAACTGCATGACCCACATGGGGTTCTGAGCAATTGGGACGAAGACTCCGTGGATCCCTGCAGCTGGGCGATGATCACTTGTTCCCCAGAGAATCTTGTTATTGGCCTGTGAGTTCTTCACACCTCTTCCCTTCGCTAGCCACCTAATTCAAGAGATGTTTCTTGGTCATTTTAGATCATGTGAGACTCGTGAGAACATGGTAGATCTTTCTTCTTCTCTGTTCGAGCAAAAGCTCTATTTCTCTGGCTTGATTCATAAGCAAAAGCTCGGTTTCATCTGCTCCATTAAATGTGCTTTTCTTGCAGGGGAGCACCGAGCCAGAATCTTTCAGGAACGCTCTCTGGGAGGATAGCGAACCTCACCAATCTCCAGCAAGTGTGAGTTACGCTCGCTAAGCTCTCATCTCGATCCTCAAAACCCTTCCTCTAATCTGTCAACTGGTTGTGTCCTGCTTCCTCTTCAGATTGCTACAGAACAACAACATATCAGGTGAGCTGCCACCAGAGCTTGGACTTCTCCCAAAGCTCCAGTCCTTGGACCTCTCCAACAATGGCTTCTCCGGCAGCGTCCCCGCGTCCTTGGGCCACCTCACCAGCCTCCGATATCTGTGAGCCATTGACCGGTCTTCATCCTTAAAAACCATAGAAAGAATAAGATGAAGATCATCTCCAACATCAATCCAAGTCCAAGCAAGTCTCTCCGGTTGTTATTCTAATCCTTTCTCCTCGATCTTCTCCACAGGAGACTCAACAACAACAGCTTGTCTGGGTCCTTCCCCGAGTCGCTGTCAAGAATTCCACAGCTCTCTTTCTTGTCTGTTACTCTACTCTCTCGCAGTAGAATGGATTGTGCTGTTTGTTCTATACTATCCCGAAGCTGAGAACTTACCAAAGCTTCACTGCTTTCCAGGGACTTGTCTTGCAACAATCTCAGCGGGCCGGTTCCTCTATTCCCGACCAGAACTTTCAAGTAAGCGTTTGGAAGTATTCTCCAGCTCGAAGACTTGTCTCTAACTCCTTCCTCTCTTTCCATATCTGTCAGCATCGTGGGCAATCCTCTGATATGTGGAAACCGGAGGACGGAGGAGTGCTCGCGAACGGCCATCCCCAGCTCTCTTCCTTTCCTGTTAGATTCATCGGCTCAGAGTAATCAGTGCATCTCTTCATCGACCCGCTAATCTGTTCGACATGCAGCAAGTTCAGATTTTAAGCTGGAATTTGATGTGCTGCGTGTTTCAGAGAGATCGAAGGCCAAGAAGCTCGGCATTGCGATGGGTGCCAGCGTCGGTGGCTCGTCGCTCTTGCTCCTTCTCGCGTTGGTGCTCTTCCTTTGCCGCCGAAAGCGGCAGAAGAACCAATGGATCCTCGGCCTCGGTGGTAAGCGGCGCATGATCGTTGAGTCCTTCCCCTACAGCATAATTGACATTGAGTAGGCGTTTTATGAACAGACAGGGAAAAGGAGGAGGGTGCGGTGATGGTGGGGCTGGGGAACCTGCGGCGGTTCACACTGCGGGAGCTGCGGGCGGCGACGGAGAACTTCAGCGGGCGCAACGTGCTTGGGAAGGGCGGGTTCGGGCACGTGTACAGGGGGCGGCTGGCCGACGGCACAGTGGTGGCGGTGAAGCGGCTCCGGGCGGACGCCGTCGGCTCTGGCAATGGTGAGGCGCAGTTCCGTACGGAGGTGGAGATGATCAGCCTCGCCGTCCACCGCAACCTCCTCCGCCTCCTCGGCTACTGCGCCGCCTCCTGCGAGCGCCTCCTCGTCTACCCCTTCATGCCCAACGGCAGCGTCGCCGCCCGCCTCCGCGGTACGCTCCTCCTCCCCGTCACATCCTAACACCCCTGTCCTGCTCTCCATCGCCACCGCAAGCCTTGAGATCCTCTCCAACTGCTGTGCGCTTGCGATAAGACATCTCTGCCGTAGATTTCGTGGGGCATACAAGATCGGACGGGTATGCCACGAGCATTGGAAGGTGCCAATGCTGGTCACGATTGAAGAGGATCCCATGCCTTTTTCCCGGTCCGCAGTGAGCCCCACTTCGTGTTTCTGTCGTTTGTTGGTCTGTTTGGGGTACGGAAGCGGCGAGTGCATTTTATTTATTGAGTTGGCGTAAGCCGTCCTCGTCTGATAATGACGCACGTTGTTGACGTGGTCTCTGTTTGACAGCCGTGACTAATCGCACCCGTTCCTTACTCCGATCTTAAACTTTCATTAAGATTCGTGTCTTCTGCCTCCTCGCCTCAGGTAAGCCTCCGTTGGACTGGAGCACGAGGAAGCGGATCGCGCTAGGCGCGGCCAGGGGCCTCCTGTACCTGCACGAGCAGTGCGACCCCAAGATCATCCACCGGGACGTCAAGGCCGCCAACGTGCTGCTCGACGACTGCTGCGAGGCCGTGGTGGGCGACTTCGGCCTCGCGAAGCTCCTCGACCACGGGGACTCCCACGTCACCACCGCCGTCCGCGGCACCGTCGGCCACATCGCCCCCGAGTACCTCTCCACCGGCCAGTCATCGGACAAGACCGACGTCTTCGGTTTCGGCATCCTCCTTCTCGAGCTCATCTCCGGCCGCCGCGTGCTCGAGTTCGGCAAGGGGCCCAATCAGAACCAGAAGGGCGCCATGCTTGATTGGGTATGGACGCATACTATCACCTCGGACATTGAGGCACTGTATGCCCGTGGTCGAAGTGTTTGATGCCGCCTCGTCTTGCATGTAGGTGAGGAAGGTGTACCAAGAGAGGAAGCTCGATCTTCTAGTGGACCGGGATCTCGGTAGCAGCTACGACCGGATCGAGGTGGCGGAGATGGTGCAGGTAGCGCTCTTGTGCACCCAGTACCTCCCCTCCCACCGCCCGAAGATGTCAGAGGTGGTGAGGATGCTCGAAGGCGACGGGCTCGCCGACAAGTGGGAGGCTTCCAACAGGCCACTGGTGCAAGTCAATGCCCCCAACTCCGACGCTCATTCGGATTCCAACGGCTTCTTCGTGCTCAACAACGACGACGACGATGGTAGTGGTGATGGCAACAGCGACGGTGATGCTGGTTCGGGGGATATCGACATGGTCGAAGAAATGGAGTTATCTGGTCCCAGGTAGTACTCGTGATAGTAGAATTAACTACTCCACCTTAGTAGTTTGGATATAATTCACTGACACAGAATTAGATTGACCAAAGTATATGTTGAGTTCTTTAATTCCTGTGCAACTTTGCAAGCTGTTGACATGTTGTCGGATGCTCCTCGTGAAAGACGAAAGGAGAATAGAATTCTTTTTCTTCTTTGCTGTGGTTGCGAGAGAAAAGCGATTCCTTTTAGCAGCCTTTTGCACCGCTTTGACGATTCCTTGTGCCCGGAATCACGCTATCGCGAGAATCTACAGCCACCGTCCGATGTTCATCGATAATATATACGATGCTGCAATTGCATGGACGTGATGCCGCCACGTGTGAGGAAACCCCAGCCGAGCCTTGGGCACGGCGGGAACGGCCGCGAAGTTGGCCACTTACTTTGACAGACTTCTAATTGCCCGAAATACCCCTGCTCGATTTGAAAGGTAAGTCGCGGATATGTGGGCAATATTGTCATTTTGGGACGAAGACCGGTGTCCTTGCCTTGGAAGTGGATCGCGTCCGAGGGATCGAGGACCGTTTCCTTACACGACGGGATCTGTGACGCGCACGTGTCACGGAGGGCATGTATATATGGAAGCATTTACGCTGGATTATTTCACTGAAATAAGAAAATGATGTATTCATGATCCCACACAAAAGCCCAAAACACAGGTAGGTAAAAGTGTGTGTGTATATATATATATAAACACACGATTTTCTTAATAAATATCCTTATTTTGAGTATTTCTCATCTATTCTTCCCTATTTTAATTTTTTCAAACCATATATCTAATTTAAAAATATCTAAATTATCTCTCATCCTCGTTGGACACATCACTACCTTCTCCATATATCACCACATCGCTACCTCGCACCCTTCATTATCTTCTTCTCAATGGTCTTTAGGTACTATGTGATAACGATTGTCCCACTAGATCCTCTTCACACAGAGAGTTATTATCATCATGCCCTCTCATTTCTCATGTGATGACGATATAGAGCGATGTAGAGGGGAGGAGAGGTGGTGGCAGATCTAGCAAAAGTAAAATTAAATTTCTTAAATATATGAGTTTTTTTAATCATAAATAAATATATATATATATATATATATATATATATATATATATATATATATATATATATATATATATATAGTATA